ACAGAACACAAACAACAGATCACAGAACACAGAACACAGAACACAGAACACAGAACACAAACAACAGATCACAGAACACAGAACACAGAACACAGAACACAGAACACAAACAACAGATCACAGAACACAGAACACAGAACACAGATCACAGATCACAGATCACAGAACACAGATCACAAAACACAGAACACAGATCACAAAACACAGATCACAGAACACAGATCACAGAACACAGAACACAAAACACAGAACACAGAACACACAACACGAAACACACAACACGGAACACGGACACAGAACACGGACACAGAACACAGAACACGGAAAGAACAAACCAACTGACCTGAGGCATGTATTTGATGAGAGTGACCCCGAGTTTGATGTAGGAGAAGTAGTAGAGGTAAGTCAGCCAGGTGATTGTATGCGTCAATGTCACAATCAATGCAATAGCAGCAAACAGCCAAGCGCCCACCAAAAGGCCAATACAGATTTTGGAAACACGCTGATCCCCTCGCTGAAATCACAAAAAGAAAACAATTTTTTCTTTTTAATTGGCAGGAAAACATTCGCATATGACGGAAACATTTCTATACATGTGTACCATTGCTGTAAAATCAGGCACTCATCAATATGATGACATCGAAGAAACCAACACATTTCTGCTTGTTGGGCAATTTTTTTCCTAAAAATTTGGGGCCTATGTTGATCGCCTTCCCAAGTCACAGAAAGGCAGAAGTAAAAATATTTACTATTCTGGTCTTTGATATTTTACCTTAAGAGACACAAGAATTGGGTTTCAATACGTCTCCAGTCACAGGTTGATAGTCTGTCTCTGAAACAAAATGTATACCAAGAGCCGGTAACACTCTCTTACACTGCAAGATCAACAAAGCTTTGTTGTATACCATGAGCCGGTAACACTCTCTTACACTGCAAGATCAGCAAAGCTTTGTTGAAAAACAAGAGTCGGTAACACTCTCTTACACTGCAAGATCAGCAAAGCTTTGTTGGAAAACAAGAGTCGGTAACACTCTCTTACACTGCAAGATCAGCAAAGCTTTGTTGGAAAACAGTCATTAGGATGAGCAGTCATTTTGTGGACACAGTGACACTTACCTCATACAGGAAACATTGCACAATTGTGAGGATGGTGACAAACACAGCGTGAAGAGTAAAGATGACATCATTCAGCTGCACAGGGTTAATGCCTCTGGGATGGTCACTGAAGTACTCAGCCTGTGGATCGAAACCAGGGAAAAATTTCCATCAATGCAAAGGGTTCAGTCGGATAATTCTTAAAACTGGAAACCAAGAAACAGTCCTTGAAAGGCCTTGAAAAATAATTATAAATAAGTATTTGGCTCTGTTTCGACTAACAATAATCTTTTACTTTTAAAAGTCTCAGTACACCTTTCTTCACAGTTCCTGTTTCATTTCATCTATTTCATTCTCTCATTTTAAACATTTATTTAAATCATGATAAAAGACTTATCTCCAGTTCCACTTTTTAAATAACCTAGAGATTGGGCCGAAAGGGCAATTACACAAGAAAATAAGTGTTATTGAACATTAATACTGGCTCCCCTCAAATGCTTGGCTTTCCATTACATTTTTCAAGAAGGAAAAGAACGTAATTGAGTTAAATCCAACATCAACTCTGTACTTTACTGTATTTGTCCATTTTGAAAGCAATGGCACCACAATTGTAGCCTTGAGAGAATCATAAACCTCAAAAATCATCATAAACAATTCTATCACAGACAGCTTTCCAGATCTCCCCTGCAGGCTCCCTTGTGATCTTTTCTCCTTCTCTGCTACCATACGTCAGTCATTATATATATCTCCTCATTCTTTTTCTGCTAAGTTACACCTTAGTATCACCTCTAATCTTCGACACTTATATGACCTAATTGTGATGCAAATGTCGTAAACCTTTCATTGAAACGAAAACAAAGATCTCACCTGAACTGATGGGACCCAGTACATGCCTACGTTGAAGAAGCCGTAAGCCAAGAATCCAGTGATGTTGTAGCAAAGGAAGTCAAAGTTGAGGCCAATCACACTGTAGGGGGAGAACAAGCACATTCATTGGATGATACCAGAATACAAATGAAATTGTCCAAGACCGCCACCCATTATTGAGGAGAAAAGTGGTTGTCTTAAGACAGGTAGATGTGCTCGCGAACAAGTGTGTGAACACGTGTGTTTCTCCCAGCTCTCGTCCGTGTGTTATACCAGTCCAGTCCAGTGAAGTGGCAAAACACGAGAAGAAAGAAAAGAGGTGGACGACGAAAACAAAAGACAATCCCTGTGCTGTTTAGTGTTTATGATTTAGAAAACTCGTGCATCAGCAGCAGACCGAAAAACAGAATTAACATTAACAATTTGGTCAAAATCGACTGTCGGAACTTTTTTCAAGAAGTACCACAAAATGTGAGAGTAGCGTGCCGTACCACAAAATGTGAGAGTAGCGTGCCTCAACACCAGGTCATGCCGTAATACAGCGGACGAGTTAAATGATTTAATTATTGAGATGAACCTTGATGTTTTCTGTATGACAGAATCATGGTTGCAGGAGTACGGTGACGATGTGATTTTATCAGCAATATGTCCAGTTGATTATTTAATTAAGTCTTTCCCTCGTGTCGGGCGTAGAGGAGGAGGAGAAGCATTTATTTATAGAACTAATT